AAAAATCATTTTTGTATTCTGAAAAGTAATGAGAGAGACAGAGGGAGGGAGGGAGAGAGAGAGAGAGAGATTGATTTTCCATCCACTGGTTCACTCCCCAAATTCCCACACCAGCTAGAGCTGGGCCAGCAAAAGCCAGAAGCCAGGAACTCAATCCAGGACTCCCAAATAGGTGGTAAGAACTCAAATACCAGAGCCATCACCTGGGCCCCTCACAGTGCCCACTAAAAGGAAGTTGGAATTGGAAGTGCAGAAGGGACTTGAACCCAGGTATTCCGATTGGGATTGGTGTTAGCCAAGCTTTGACTTAATCGTTGTGACACCCTTATTTTTTTCTTTGTTCTTATTCATGCCTTTAATATTTTATAAATTTCATTTAAGTTATACAAGTTTCATATATTTCATGTGTACATATTTAAGAACATAGTGACACTTCCCTCCCTATCTTTCCCCTGCTCATGCTCCAACCCTTCTTCCTCCTTCCTCTCTCATTCCCAGTCTTAATGTTTACAAAGATCTATTTTCGGTATACTTAACCCTAAGTAAAAGAGTTCAGCAAATAGTATGACGAGAAAAACAAAAACAAAAACAAAACACTGTTACTCAATGGAAGAGACAGGGCTATAAATAATCATTGAATCTCAAAATGTCTATTTTACTCCAATACATTACATTCAGGTATTCTATTAGTTACCTCCGATCAGGGGAAACACATGATATCTGTCTTTTTGGGACTGGTTTATTTCACTAACTATTTTGGTTTCCAGTTGCGTCCATCTTGTTGCAAAAGACAGGATTTCATTCCTTTTACAGGTAAATGGTACTACAAAGCATATCTATATGATTATTTCGTTATCCAGTCAACAGCCAGTGAGTATCTTGGTTGATTCTATATCTTAACTATTGTGAATTTTGCTGTAATGAACATGGGGGTACAGATAACTCTTTCATATGCTGATTTCTTTTGGTTTGGGTAAATTCCCAGGAGTGGGATGGCTGGGTCATGTGGTAGTTCTATATTCAGATTTCTGAGGTATCTCCATACTATCTTCCACAGTGGCTGCACCAGTTTACATTCCCATCAACAGTTGACCAAGGTACCTTATTCCCAACATCCTTGCCAACATTTTTTTGTTTGTTTGTTGACACCTGTATGAGAGCCATTCTAATTGGAGTGAGGTGGAACCTCATTGTGGTTTTGATTTGTATTTCCCTGATGGCTAGTGATCCTGAAAATTTTCTCAAGTGTCTGTTGGCCATTTGAATTTCCTCTCTTGAAAAAAGCCTGTTCAAGTCCTTTGCTCTTCTTAACAGGATTGTTTTGTTGTTGTTGAATTTCTTGAGCTCTTTATAGATTCTAGATGTTAACCTTTTATCAGTTGAATAGTTTGCAAATATTTTCTTCTTTTCTGTCTGTTGCTTCTTCCCTTTGCTGAGGGTTTCGTTTGCAGTATAGAAACTTCTCAGCTTGATGTAATCCCATTTGTCAATTTTGGCTTTGATTGCCTGTGCTTCTGGGACACCCCTATTTTTATGTTGCATTATAAATATGTGTTCCTTGGCAAAAATGTGTAAAATTAGATTTAAGTTACAATTTCCCAGTAAAATCCAAATAAAATTAACAATACGCAATAGTTATAAATGATATTTGGGCTCATTTGGATATTTGCTTCAAAGATGTTTCAAGGGAAAATATGAGGACCAGCATTGTGGCATAGCAAGTTAAGCTACTGCCTGCAATGCTGGCATCCCATATGGGCACCAGTCTGACACCCAACCATTCCACTTCCGATCCAGCTCCCTGTTAATAAGCCTGGGAAAGCAGCAGAAGATGATGCAAGTGTATGAACCCCTGCCACCCATGTGGGAGAACCAGACGAAACTCCTGGGTCCTGGTCTAGTCCTAGCCAGCACAGCCAGTGCAGCTATTTGGGGAGTGAACTAGAGAATGGAAGATCTCTCCCTCTCGCTCTCTGTTTCTTGCTCTATTTCTGTAACTCTGCCTTTCAGATAAATAAAGGAATCTTTTAAAAATAAATAATAAAAGAAAATTGCTTAATAAAGAAAACAAGTATCAAAAATCATCATTTTTATAAAAGACCAAAATTAAATTTCATATACAATCTTCTGATTATTCGCTAGCATTTTGTGAAAACTGATTTCTTTTTTAATGAAAGTGAAATGTGATGCAGACACACATATTGAAATTGAGAGAAGAGATTCAAGAGTGGTCAGGTCAAAATCGAGGCAAAAGGAACCCAAACAAAACAAAACACACACATGCATCCTATGTACACATCAGTTTTCCTTCATGCACACATTTTTTCCAGGCACTCTGCTAAGCATTTTTCGGTCTTTTATTTCTGTTTATTTTCACAATGGTCTTATATAATAGGTATCATTATCCTCATTTTATAGGCAAATTGAAATCTAATATTAATCTGAGTTCAGTGTAGTTGCAGCACACAAAAATCACAATTTAATACTAAACTCAGTTGCTTAAAAGACTTGACTCTTTTGTCTTTGTATCTCAAAATCTTCTAGAACAGAAAGTGTTAGCATCTGTCAAATTTGATCAATCAACATATTTCTTAATGCCCTCAGCCTCTTATCTGGTGACTTCAGTCACTCCCGGTCAGCAGTCCAACCTATTGTTCTTGCAATTCCTGAAGTGGCTGTGCACAGACACGAATGGACTGCAGTGCAAAAGGAGCTCTGGGATTCACTCAACTAAGATGAATGGCCCAGTCTACCAGTTGGAGCACACCAATCCAAAGCCAATGATTGCTACTATACCCCTATGCCCTTTGCAGTCAGACCTCTAAGACTCTAGTCAAATTACCAGTGAAACAAGGAGAAAAGATGTGATGATATCCCTTTTCAACACACATAGTTTAGCTGCTTGCAGACTTCCATTCTCTGTGGAATTCCACTTGATGAACAGAGCAACTCTTTATTACAAAAATTGATGCCTAGGAATCTATTCCTTTTTTTAAAAAAAGATTTATTTATTTATTTGAAAGGCAGAATTACAGACAGAGAAAAGGAGAGAGAAAGGTCTTCAACCTGCTAGCTCACTCTCCTAATGGCTGCACTGGCCAGGGCTGGTCCAGGCTGAATCCAGGAGCCAGGACATTAATCCGGGTCTCCCACATGGGTGGCAGGGGCCCAAGGACATGAGCCATCTTCTGCTGCTTTCCTAGGTGCATTAGCAGGGCGCTGGATCAGAAATGAAACAGCTGGGATTTGAACCAGTGCCCACATGAGATGCCAGCACTGCAGGCTTCAGCTTAACCCACTGTATCACAGCCCCAGCCCCAGGGATCTGCTTTATAGAAACATGTTTTGGAGTGAATTTTATACAAGGAACATTTAAAAATTACAAGCAAGTATAGGCAAGGGGCAGGTATTTAGCACAGTTTTTAGGATACCACTTGGGATGTCTACATTCCACAACAGGGTACCTGATTGGAGCCCTAGATACTCTACCTCAGATCCAGCTTCCTGCTGAAGAGCATCCCGGGAGGCAGTCAAAGATGGCTCAAGTACTTGGGTCCCTGCCACCCATGTAGGAAACCCAGAGAGAGTTGTGGCCTCTGACTTCAGCCAGGCCTGTTCCTGAGTGTTGTGGAGATTTGGGAAGTGAACCAGCAAATGGAAAAAACTCTCTTGTCCCTGTCTCTATCTCTCTCTCACTGCATGTCAAATAAAGTGAAAAATAAATAAATAGATAGATAGATAGATATTGAAAAGCAATAAGCCATGAGATATAAAATTAAGATTGGTGACAGTGATGTAGAACAAAGACTGACTAGCATCAGCAGTTACCTTGAGCTTTAGTCAGCCATGAACCCCTGAGTGAAGGGTTTTCCAAAAATACAGCCGGCAAAAAGGCCTCTTTGCAATCACTGTTTTCTGGGAGAAGACAAGCCCAGCAAGAGTTCGTGTGATATTTTTGTTTTCCCTTCTTTTCTAAATTTAAGATTATTTTTTACTTTTAGAAATAATATTTAAAATATATTTACATAGATCTTACATAAATATTTGTATAAATATTGTAAATGTGAGAGTGAAGTGTAATGTGTGTTTTAGAACACTTTATAGAACCAGAGTAAAGATGCTTACGTGATTATGGGTAAATGATTATAAAAGTAATAGCATCCAATCAAAAGCCTTACTGGCTACACAGGGGAAATGTCTCAAATATAAACTCAGATTTGATTTAAATTAGACGTAGTTTGTCTTTAATCATCATCATCATCATCATCAGTCACCTGCAAACTGAGGAAAGTTGAACTACTTTAGGGATTCTAAGGAAATACCCATTTATGTTTATTTGAACCTTAATATACATCCCAAAATAAAGCCATACAACTGCCCATTCAGTTGCAAGCCATTGGTTGAAGTCTCTAACAGAGAGATTTGAGCTTGATTAAATAACAATGTAATGCAGTAGTTCTGTCAACCAAGATAATCTGCCCCATAGAAAATTTATTTTGCTTTTTTAAACCTGTTTTATTTAAATCAAAATTTCTTTTTATATTTAAATAAAATTTCTATCTTTGTTATATATTGTTTTTCTTCAACTTATTTTGAAATAATTCTAAATGCATAGGAAGTGGCCCCAAGGACCTGTCACCCAGCTTCTACAATGGTGCTATTGCAGGTAATTTTAGCACAAAACCAAAGCCAGGAAACTGATGCTGGCAAAAACCATCTTCTCTTAATATTCAAAAACGTATTGTTAAAAGTTGACAGATAAAATTGTATGTATTTGCCATGCACAATATGAAAATTTGAAATATATACATTGTGGAATGACTAAATCTAACTAATTAACATATACATTACTCTATATAGTTATAACTTTTAAAGTGAAAACTCTTTATATTTAATCTGTCATTTTTCTGAGATACAATGTATTATTAACCATAGTCATTGTGTTATGCAGTAAATCTATTAGCTTATTGCTCCAATTCTAATTCAAATGTTGTATCCTTTAACCACCCAGTAGCACCACCTCATCCACTGGTAATTACTATTCTACTCTATTACTATATAAACTTTTAAAAATATATCACTTATGGGTGAGATCATGTGGTACTTGCCTTTTTGTGTCTGGCTTATTTCACTTAACACAATGTCTTTCAAGTTCATGGATATTGCTGCAAATGACAGGATTTCCTTCTTTTTATTGCTGAATTCTATTGTGTTTATAGGCCAAATTTTCTTTATCAGTTCATCCATTGTTGTACACTTAGGTTGATTCCATATCTTGGCTGTTCTGAATAGCATAAACTTGGGATTGCATCTGACTCTTCAAAATACTCATTTCATTTTCTTGGGATACATAACCAATAGAAGAATTGTTGAACCTATAGTAGTTCCTGCTTTTTAAATTTATTTAGGAATCTGAGCAGTGTTCTCCACAACGACTGTAATAAATTATATTTCCACCAATAGTGTGCAAAACTTCCCTTACCTCCAATACCTGTTATCTTTTGTCTTGTTGATAATAATCTACCAGCTGTGATGTGGCACTTAAGTGTGGTTTAATTTGCATTCCCCTGATGATTAGTGACACTGACAATTTTTTTTATATATCTCTTGCCATTTATATATCTTTTGATAAGTTCCATGTAGGTCCTTTGTCCAGTTATTACTTTGGTTATTTTCTTGCTATTGAATTTTTGAGTTCCTTATATGTTATGACTAGTCAACCCTTTACAGAAGCGTAGTTTTCAAATTTAAAACACTTATTTCTGCAGGATATTTCTGCTTTTACCTTTATTATGAATAACAAACTTCATCTTCTAAGATAGTTTAAAACGCTTGAGAAAACGAAACTGCAGTACGTAAAGTTAACCAGTCACTTGGTGCCTCAGACATATGGTTGTGCTGTCTTCACTTTTACCAGATTATGTACATTTCTATCTTGACTATGTCACAAACATTAATTCCATTTAACTGTGATCTCATTTGATAAAGTAAAATCTCTCCAAACTAGGCTGTTTCCTCTCCCTCTCCCACCCTGTTTTTCACTACATAACAGATCAACAATGAAGGTGACCTCTCGAGTGTTTTCTTTAAGGTACATTATAATTCTCATTACAATTTTTAAAATAGAATCTAATTAAATGCATTTCCTGGAGAAGCTCTTTACTTTTCCATTCGACTTTCAGCTGTCCGTGTTCTGTGTACTATCTTACTGGGCTTCATTTACTGATACATCTTTCATCTTGACAGAGAATGACAAAGATAAATATTAATTCCAAATCCATCAGAATGTAAAATCACTTAGATTCTTTCCCTTATAGTACATTATTTTATTTATCACCAATGGGTTGCCCATTGAATGTGTCAAGGAAAACGGGAACACTTTTGAAATCTTCACTGTAAATTTCACTGGAATCAGGAACAATATCTGTGCTGTGTGTATATTTCATTAGAAAACCTCCATGCCTCTAACAGTTTAAATTATCTTTACTTCTTGAAACAGAATATTCCATTTCCCTCTAAATGAGATTATGTATGTTCTTGATGTTCACCTAGTGAACCAATGCAATTAATCAAAGAATTAAAATTGATATCTACATAGTAAAACAACCTAAGTTGTTTCTACATAACTATGAGATAAATAAATCTGCATTGCTTATGTGATCACAGTTTCCAGAAAACCTAAGGTCCCAGGCAGTTACAGAAAACTAGATAAGATTGGACAATAGGAAAGGGAACTGGAGTGCAAATATCCACTTTCTTGTCAAATACTTGTTTGATCCAGCATGGGGAGTGGTTGGATGAGGTAGAACCTAGTGATAGAGCATACAGGAGCAGGATGTCTTGTCTACCAGGTGTCAGTGTGACCAATCAAATTGATGGGAACAGTAGGAGACAGAAGTGAAATCGGAGCAGGGACCTCCCTGTTGTGTCCTGGATTGCTCCCAAACTGATGAAGAATCAGGTATCAGAATGAAAGACGGTGCAAGCAGAATGGCTACAAAGAACAGGCAGTAAACAAGAGCTCAAGCCTCATTTCCTAATTGTGAGCTTCAAATGCTAACGTTCCCATAGAAACACTAGGCTTAAACAGAGCACATTTTTAACAGACCAGACAAATGAACAAACTTTTACTGGAGCCTCGGGTATGTCAGGATTAGCACTTTCTAAACCATGAAAGCAACGAAACTTTAAAACCACTGTGTTTCTCAGAGATTTACAGCATTTAGAGGGGGATTGATTGTTCCTAAAGCAGAGGTTGACTTTCCCAAAATGTGAAGCTAATATAGGGCTCATTTGCTTTGCTGTCTCATTCAAATCTTAGGAAATACATAATGTGTTTCCCAGAAAGTTACAGCTCCTTATTCATTTTGTTTATGTGTTCAGTTGCTCATTCAGCAATCAGTCAGTATATATATATATATATACACACACACACACTCTATAGATATAGAGAGAGAGATATCACTCTCTATCTATCTATATAGATAGATAGATATACAGATATAGATTTTACATAAGACCTTGTCTATTAAGTTTCTAAGTCACATAGCTTAATTAATACCACCTAATGTAGCACGGATAGGTCTGAGTTTTATAAACATGTAAGGAAATATTTTAAAATTATCCAACAGATTAATATCTCTCTCTTCAGTGAATAGATAGCATGATGAACTTGCTGCAGCAGAGGCTATAGTAATACTTGCTTTGTCAGTAATTTTGGGAAGCAATGAAATGTAATTATTTTTAAAGACAAGTGGAAGCATTTGGTATACAGTGAAGAGGCCAGTTATGATGTCTACTTTCCACATTAGAGGACCTGGGTTCAAGTCTCAGCTCTACTCTAGGTTCCTGGGAGGCAGCAGATGATGGCTCAAATAACTGAGTCCCCGTGACTCACATGAGAAACCCGAGTTGAGTTCCCGGCTCCTAGCTTTGGTGAGGCCTGGCTCTGGCTATTGTGAGGATTTGTGGGTGACTGAGTGAACCACAAGATGAGAGTGTTCTCTTTGTCTTTCTGTCTCTATTACTGTCTCTTCTCGCTTAAATAAAAAAAATTATAAAAAATTAAAATACAAGACTAGATGTTGAGAAATTTAGATAGAATACAATTGATAATTGGCCCCTGATGCAAGGCTTAAGGTTGCTGTGTAGACTGAGGTAGTATGTGAAGAATGTTTTAAATGTTTCACATGCAGCTATAAGGCGATTTGTTCTTTATTAATATTAACTTCACCCACATTCTTCTTTAGACTGGGGATGGTAGAAGACTAATGTTAAGTATGGTTGAAATTTTTTTAAAGTTAGAATTTGGTCCTATTTCAATGATTTGTTTGAAACTTTACAAATTACCTGCTTTAAAAACAAATCAGAGGAAAATGTAGATTACTCCCCAATGCTATTTTTATATTTGTATTCTTTCTTATTTTTAGTATAATGACTTCGTTATTTATTTAAAAGGCAGAGTGACACATAAAAAGGCAGATATAGAGACAGAGACAGAGAGACAGAGAGAGAGAGAGACTGAGAGAGAGAGAGAGAGTCCATCCACTGATTCATTCCCCAAATGGCCACAACAGCCAGGCCAAAGCCATGAGACTGGAACTCCATCATGGTTCCCACATGAGTGCCAGGGACCCAAGTGCTTGGATCATCATCTGGTGTCTCCTAGGCCCATTAGCAGGAAGCTAGATGGAAGCTTGGAGTAGCTGGCTGGGACTTACACCGGCACTGTTAGGGGATGCGGGCATTCCAAGTGGCAGCTTAGCTCACTGAACCAACGTGACTGACCCTCTTTGTTCATTTCATCTATTTCTGCCAGTACAGTTTTATGAAAATATATGTTGTAACCATGAAATGGACTTGTTAAACTCTTGGATTAGAGTATATCACTTGTCATGTAGACAGATACCAAGAAGTAACCATAAAAAGAAAGAATTTGCAGGGCACATTGTGGATATATTACTTCCCATTTTGCCCTGTACTGTCTCCAAAGATAAAAGTAAAGAAAAATGACTGCAAGTTATTGGCAGGGAAAAAATATATATGTAGCGTGTCATGGGTACAGAATGTACTTGAAAGTTCTGCCTACAAAAAAGACAACTCTGAAAGTTATTTTTATGATTTCTTGGGTAGTGTCTAGTAAGACAATCCATTGACAATTAAGGTTTTTTAAGTTTATTTATTTATTTGTTTATTTGAAAGATAGAGTGAAAGCGTGTGGGGAGGAGGGGAAACATACACACACACACACACACACACACACTCACAGATCTTCCACCTGCTCATTCAATTCCCAAATGCCCACAATAGCCAGGGCAGAAACAGACCACCTGGAAGTCTATCCAGGTCTCCCATATAGGTGTCAGAGACCCAGTCACTTGAGCCATCACTACCTTCCAGAATGAGCATGAATAGGAAGTTGGATTGGAGGCAGAGATGGGACTCAAACCCCAGCACTTCAATATGGAATGTAGGTATCCTAAATGTCAGCTTAACCCACTGCACCACAAGGCTCATCTCTAACAACTGAGCTTTATATATGGTGGTACTTATTTAAGTTTTACTTAAACTCTGGGATATCTACATTGTTGAAACTATTTCTGAGCAATAATATCAACATCCAGTAGAAAACATCAAACCTTATATGAATTTTGTCATAGTTGTATATTTTTAATTCTCACTTTGGTGACTTTGTATAAAATTAATTGTGCTTATGTATTCACATACATTTACATGTCCTCATTGTGGCATGATATTATACTGTCATAAACTACAGAACAGGAAAGTCCCTGTGTAGTGGACTTTTTAGCTCAACATTCCTGTAAATTCATAATCTTCAAATTTCATCAGTTTAACCCACTCTGAACGTTCAATCTCATTTCAGATTCCTGATATTTCTACCTAACAGAAGTTCAAGGAAGTCTAGGTGAGTAGGTCAGCAATTTAACATCAAACAAAGTTTTCAGTGTACCTGATTTTATTTCTTTTAATGTGGTGATTTCAGCTGGCCAGAAGTAACTAATTTATCTTCCTTCACCTCAAAATTCCCTCAAAGATTATCAATATTGGGAAGAAAAAATAAATCTATCTCTATTTGTAGTTGACATAATCTTTCATATACATAATTCAGCAAATCCACTGAAAACCTATTAGAACTAATAGAAGAATTTAATAAAGTTGTGGATACAAGATTAATGTACAAAATCAACTATACTTATATACTAGTAGTCCAAAAGTATAATTAAGTAGCATAAAAAAGAATAAAAAATAGCATAAAAATAATAAAATATTTTAGAATAAACTTAATAAAATAAGCATAAAATATATTCTGAAACTACAAAGCACTACTTAACGAAATTAAAGATAACCACATAAAGGAAAAGGCCTTCCATGTTCATGCAATGGAAAATTTATTGCTAAGATGGCAGTCTTCTAAAAATTTCTATCCTTAAAATAGCCAGGCTTGCCTTTTATAGAAATTGGCAAACGGATCATAAAATTCACATGGAAATTCATTTCATTTCAGAAAAAGCACAAAAAATATTATAAAGTTGCAGTAATAAGGAAAGTGTGGACTGACACATGAATAGACATAGGAGACTAACTGGAATGGAGAGTCCAGTAATTAGCTAGTACATTTAAGGTAAATTGATTTTTGACAGGGTGCTAAGACAATGCAATGAAATGGAGCTGGTTCAACTGAACAGATACTTGCGACAGAGAAAATTTAGGCCTTGTGAACACAGAAAGGTATGGGGAATGCATCTATGTTTTACGTCCTCTAACTGGTTCTTTTCTTACCCTTCCCTACCTTATATGAAGATTATCAATGAACGCTGCTGTTTTAAGTTCTGGGTGGTAATATGACCAGCTTTACTCCCAGAATCTGTAGTCACGTGGAAGTTAATGAGATGCTGGGATTCTTCTATGTTAGGGCAGTACAGTTCTCACACTGGCCAAAGTCAAGAGTGGACAGTGAAAGCAAAATACGCAGTATATACCCTGTTCTCTGTTCTTCTCCATTCTGCTTTCTACACCATGAGTCTGACACTTAAGGAATCATTTTCAGTTGGTTTCTGCCAGTGGGAACACATACAGAAGCTCCATAGAGAGAAAACAGTGAGATAAGAATATTTGTTTTCCTAATTTGGGGCCTTCAAGATCGTCTTGAGCTGACCATGTCTTTTGGTCAAACATCACCCTTCCTCTCAAGAGGGCAAACTACATAACTACCCCTCCAAGTTCTTCAAACAGCTTTCTTTATTCTTTCTGGACCAGAAGTTCACTATTAGGCTCCATGTTACTGTTGGTTCCTCTACAATTTTATTATTATCATTAATCTTCCAAATAAGCCCTCTTTTAATTCTGTTTGCATATATGATATCATGGTGGGATTTTGGTTGACACAAACTCTTAACTGCAAGAAATTTTCAAGTTAAAGGTAACTACCAGGATTCCATAAAATGCTAAGTTGTTAAAGGCAGGGACCAATTCTTGCATCAGCTTGTTACACAGTGCTTTGTATCTAATAGAACTTCAGATATCTTTGAAAATTAATTAAATGGAAGTTTTTAAAAAGGAAAACCACTTATAATTCTAAGATGTGATTATAAATCATATATACATAGTACTCCGAAATGTAACAGTGCTGTTTGTACAGAAACATAAGATATGTTGGGTGAGAAATAAAGAACTCATCAGTACAATTTAGCTCTAAAATTGGCATTATCAACTTTCATAATCACATTGATTTTATTTTTATATAATGAATCTTGATAAGACACTCTCATCCATATTTTACCTGATGATATAGTAATTAAAAACTGTTTATGGGGCCGGCACTGTGGCTTAGCAGGTTAACGCCCTTGCCTGAAGCGCCAGCATCCCCTATGGGTGTGGGTTCAAGACCTGGCTGCTCCATTTCCTATCCAGCTCTCAGCTGTGGTCTGGGAAAGTAGTAGAAGATGGCCCAAGTCCTTGGGCCCCTGTACACGTGTAGGAGATACAGAAGAAGCTCCTGCCTCCTGGCTCAGATCAGCACAGCTGCAGCTGTTGTGGTCAGTTGGAGAGTGAACCATCAGATGGAAGACCTCTCTCTCTCTCTCTCTGCCTCTCCTCTCTCTGTGTAACTCTGACTTTCAAATGAATAAATAAATCTTTTTTAAAAATAAATCTGTTTATATAATCTAATATATAACCAGGTCAATAGTGTCACCATCTACCATTTAAAAATCATGTGGTTTTTTTTTTCCCCCTATGGCCACCTTTTCTAGACTTTTAGTCATAGCCTCTCTTTCTGCATCTGCTTTTCTTACAATTTACATTTTTAGTTCTCAGGGTCATTTTCTTGTATGGTTTTAGCAAATCATTAAGTTTCATCTCATTTCTTTAGATTAACAACTTTATTTTTGCGCTTTCTTCATTAAAACTTTGATTTCCTCATGGCAATAGTAGATAATTATTCATGAGGAAATGTCATCTTAGCTACCACATTCAGGCATTTTTAATTTGAAGCCAAAGACAATTATAGTGGATAACAAATTATACCTTTTAAATTGCAGCAGTTGACCACAGTGATATATGATTATCTGGGCATTTAAATCAGCATGTATCAAGCATATACAATAATTAATAATGAAAATTTTCTAATTTGTTATTATTACTAGTATAAAACTTATGCTTAAAATAAAACACAATTTTTGTCACTAAGATGCTCATAGGAGAATAGAGTCATGGCGAGAAATATGTATCTGTGGGGAATCTGATACAGGATTCATTAAAGTTACAAATATCCCTACTAAATACTCTACATTTCAACATATGATCTTTTTAAGCCAGTACAATTTCACACTGTCTAAAAATTAAACTGAGGCTATCATTGTATTGAAAATGATTTATAGCATATTTTTATTATTTTTTGCTATTTACAATATGAATTTGATCAGTTCTCACTACATTGCAAGAAATATGTTCCCACTTTCAAACTAATATAAACAATTAATGAACTAATATATTTTTGCAACATTATAATCACAACTGTAAAGTCTTTGGGACCTTTAGAGTTGGGGATGTATTATTTAAAGACCTAATTCAGTAGAAGTCCATATGCAGTTGTGTTTAAAACTGCCTAGAAATCAAGCACTGTGTTCCTATCTTATTTAAAAATAAGGAAAGAATAAAAGACTCAAAGAGGAGGGAGAAGAAATAAAAGAAGAAAGCAGGAACAGAAAAATAAAAAAAATCTGCATTTCAAGCAATGGAACTAAGCTCTATTTTGTCTTTTAAGCTTTGTACATACAGCACAGAATTTGTTTTGATAGATGTAGGGATTCAAAGGACAGTCTTCACAGATCCAGAAAAATATTCCTAAAATTTGTATGAAAACACAAAAGCTCCCAAATCGCCAAACAATAAAAACAAAGCTGGAGGCATTTAAATACCGGGTTTCAAGACTTACTACAGAGATACTACTCAAGACAGCCTGGTATTGGCATAACGATAACCATGTAGACCCACTGAACAGAATACAAAACCCAGAAATCAATCCACACATCTACAACCAACTAACCTATGACAAACGATCTGAAATCGTTCCCTGGAGAAAGAACACTCTCTTCAACAAATGGTGTTGGAAAAAACTGGGCTTCCACATGCAAAAGTTTGAAACAAGATCCCTTACACCCTATACGAAGATCAACTCAAAATGAATCAAGGATCAAACCTGAAACCATCAAACTAGGGGAAACACTTCAAGACATTGGCCTAGGAACAATGAATAAAAGCAAAAATGGAACAAATGGGACTACGTCCAGGTAAGAAGGTTCTGCAAAGCAAAGGAAAAAAATCAAGCGTGAAGAGACAACTGACAGAAATGGGAATAAATATTTTCAAATTGTACATCCAATAAAGGATTGATATTCAGCATATATAAGGAACTCAAGATACACAACAACAGCAAAAAAAAAAAAAATCCAGTTAAGAAATGGGCAAAGGATATGAACAGACATTTTTAAAATATGGAAATACACATGGCCAACAGACACACACACAAATCTAAAGTCTATGAGCAGAACTGACATTTTGAGATTTGATTATTTACAGCCCTTATCTATACTCCTGAGGAACAGTGTTTTTCCTACATGTTTTATTTTTTATTAGGTGAAGGGTTAATCTTGTGATTATAAAGTAAATTGAAATCATGTCATTGTAAAAATTAAAAGAAAAAAGAAGGAAGGAAGGAGGAGGGTGGGAGGAAGTGTGTGGGGGAGGGGAGGGTTGAAGTATCATTATGCTGTTAAAACTCTGTGGCACAGCAGGTTAAAGCCCCAGCCTGCAGCACCGGTATCCCATACGGGTGCCAGTTCGAGTCCCGGCTGCTCCTCTTCTGATCTGGCTCTCTGCTGTGGCCTGGGAAAGCAGTGGAGGATGGCCCAAGTCCTTGGGCCCCTGCACCCGCATGGGAGACCTGCAAGAAGCTCCTGGCTCCTGGCTTCGGATCGGTGCAGCTGGTGCAGCTCCGGCCGTTGCAGCCATCTGGGGAGTGAACCAGCAGATGGAAGACCTTTCTCTCTGTCTCTACCTGTCTCTTTAATTCTTTGAAATAAATACAATAAATCTAAAAAAGAAAACCCTCTCTATATGAAATACATGAAATCTGTTCTCTGTATATAAGGAAAATAAATTTTAAGAAAGAAATTCTAAGGATCATTAGCCATCAGAAAACTGTAAGTAAAAACTACAAAGAGTATTTCCTCACCCCAATCAGAATGGCTATCATCCAAAATTCAGAATATAACAAATGCTGGAGAGGGTGTAGAAAAAATGGTAACCCAATACAGTGTTGGTATAAACCTAAATTAAATCATTATGCAAAATAATATACAGATTCCACAGAAAACTAAAAATAGATTCATCATATGACCCAGC